TGTTATAGCAAATGTATTACTGAGTTAGTGTGCAGTGTTACCAGATTTGGGCATGAGTCATCACAATGGAATGCAGGGCATCAACCAATAGGCATGCAGCTTTCCTCTATTCTTCTTGCTGATTGGCTGTTGGAATTTAACAGGCTTAACTTAATTAATACCTGCACAGAGCCATTCCATACTGACAGTATGTCTGTATTCAAGTGTTTTGGTAGGTATTTTAAGCTTTCCTGCTCCAGCATTGGAATGCGGGGCATGAACGCTTCTTTTTTTCTTGAAAATCAACAGTTTGCATTATGCAATTAAAAATCCTAACCAATAATGTAGGGAATAGCTATCCAACTGTTGTAGTCTTAGTTGTATGTTACTTCATACTATAGTTATATCAATGTAAAGCATTGTTTTCCCTTGTGTTTCTCATTCTTTCCCTGCCATGTCGTAAAATGTGGTGAAGCCATTGCTGTATTTGCTCCAAAGCAAATGTCGGCCTTTCTAGTTCTTTACATTTTATCTGTATTGTCGCGGAAGAATAGTCTGAAATTATGTAACAAATTATGGAGATGACAAACAAACAAACAAACAAACAAACAAACAAACAAACAGATTAACTAACTAACATGGGCCTGGCTATTATCAATTTCTATTGAATTCTACAGCAAAATATGTGTATTGAAGCTATCACCTTTTTTTATGGGTTCACCACACCACGAAGTGGTGGTGAACCCATATTGCTTTTTCTGATGTTTCTCCTTCTTCTCCTGCCATTTTTTAAATGGATTCAGCTTCTTCATTTTAGGGCCTAAGGTCCTGAAATTTGGTATGGAGGTACAGTGGGCAAATACCCCTAGGCGTTTTTTAAATTTTTGTGATACAGGCTTTTAGAATGGTTTTATTTGAGTTTTTTGGCTGTGTTATAGCAAATGTATTACTGTGTTAGTGTGCCGTGTTGTGACCACGTCTGGGCATGAGTTAGCCTCCTTCGCAGTCTTGTTGGGCGTGGGCGTAATTTTTTCTCTGAGCGACGCGAGTAATATGCCGCCGCGAGGGACGATTTGCTGCCGAGGGACTTTTGCCACGGAGAGAAGGTTTCCGCGCTCCAACAAGTTGCCATGTCGTAAAATGTGGTGAACCCATCGCTGTATTTGCTCCAAAGCAAATATTGGCCTTTCTAGTTATGTTTAGTAGTTTCAACGGGCGCTGCAAATGGTGATGTGTGCACAACGCAAACGTTTCGATACAACTAATTATTCAAGATTTGAAATGAAATTTGAAAGAAACAGACGCAGGCCTCTCTTTGCGTGGTAATCTTCTATTGGTTGAACGTTATGTTCGATTACGAGTGGCACTACGTCTGGACCAATCATTGTTGGCCGCTTGTAGCGCCAAGAAAGCGGTTAACCTGGTGCTCACGACATGTAACACATGGTAACACACGCGGCGACCAAAGATGTCCCAAAATGCCCTCAGGAAAAAAGAAGGGCCGACAGAGACAGCACTGTCACTAGTGAAGAAATATGAAACAAATCGAAATCTGTCATGTTGGCTAGCAGATAAATTTCAGATAGCTTGCGCATCGTTATTTGTCTCTTTATTCCAAATCCATCATTTAGACAATTTCTCGTAAGATGTATGAAAAATTACATCAAGCCACAGAGTGGTGTAGCTAAAAAGGGGAATTTTGATGACTGTAAAATATTCATATTTGAAATGATCCCCGGTCATTTTTCCACGATCAGCTGTTACCAGGATTAAGTAGACCCGGTGAGACGTCAGCTGGGCGAGACCAAACCACATCGGGGATGCGCGCAATTGGCTTATTTGCTCTGTCTTTGTTTTAGGTAATTGGGCAGACAACATCGCGAATTATTGAAC